GACTGCCTGGTCAGTCAATCCATTTTTCCACCAACAATCCTAATATTGCATGAGCTTATTAGCTCTGTATATCACTATGTATGGAGTCATGATCATAATGTAGATCTACTGAAAATGGAGAAGTTAGATAATATATATACAAAAAAAAAAAAAAAAAGAAACTGATAATTTTGAAGAAAACAACCTATTGAAAGACGTTAAATTTTCGCAATAGACTGAATTTGAACAACGTTATAGTTCAAAACGTACATAGTAGGTGTACCTATAGTTGGTGTAGTGGACACCAGAATTTCAAGATAATAATATTGTTGCTATGCTTACTAAATAATTAAATTAATAAATAAGGACATTTAATTATTTTTCCATCACAATACATAATGATGTAGATCTTAATATTAATCTTATAATATTGACATAAGCTTGTTTCTTCTCTTCACTTCACTTTGGTTCTACATAGGGTTAATGCAGTTTACCTGACAATACAATGATGAAAGTCAGGAACCCAAACTAAGATAACCCGTGCTTTGGGCTTCTGTTTATTTTTAATACTATTTTTAAAATGTATTTAATTTTATAAGTATTTTTATTTGATAAAAATGATTGAAAACAATACCATAACCATAAGTAGCTATTATATCTAATAATGGTTTAGTGGCTTACATCTTGGGGAAATTATAAACGTAATTTGATTATTGCTTAAGTTTTTACTAGTACTATATAGTACTCGTGAGATATTGATGTTATTGACAATGTCATATATCTTGTTTAAGTGCAACAATGTTCAATGATTAAACAGTGTTGTTTGTCAACACAACTCCTTCTTTGAACGTCTACTAGTATAATTAGCGAGGATGACGCTACCTATACAATTAAATAGATCGGACTAACTTACCTGTGACGTCCGATCCTCAATTGTGTAGGTAGCGTCATCCTCGCTAGGTCCCAACCCTTCCCGGATAATAAACATGTTTATTTTTACCCCTGGTCGAGTTGTGTTGCAGTTGCAGGTGCTTTGAAGTAAATGATGTTGCCAGTGAGATGACCATAGAGTATAAATATTTTTTTTATGAATGTGTTCATCTTTAAATATTGTGACAGCGTGCCCAGATTAGTGCCTACTACTAGTATAATTAGCGAGGATGACGCTACCTACACAATTGAGGATCGGACGTCACAGGTAAGTTAGTCCGATCTATTTAATTATTGACTATAGCTAAAAAAATAATTGTATGGCATACTCACGTAGCTGAGACATCCCGACTATTCAACTCTGGCCAGGGGCTCATAGTCACGAGAAGCTTAACCCGCCAAACGCTGGCCATGCTAAATCAGCATACATAGTTAGAGTTAGAGAGAGATTATAGAATTATGAATAGTATATTAATGAATCCTCGAACTATGTCTATGTAGGCCGTGTATAAAATTCAACAATTTCCTTTAGAAAAGGTCGAGTCAAGGTGCTGCTAATGCGTGACTCGAGTTGCGAATCGACTTGAAAAAATATAGACGATAATGTAGGTTTCTAGCAACAGGTGTGAAAACACTGACACATGATGTACTTTTCATGGATGACACAAATGACTAAAAGTGATGTAACGAATACTCGCACATTTTTTTACTTTTGCATTCGCAGTTTTCAATGTGAATATTGCGTATGTGAACGCGATTATTTCTATCAATAAATGCAATTTTCAATAACAACAAGGTTAATTCTGTAGTTGAATAAGAATTAATTTCTTTTATACTACAAAACCTTATCTTGTGGTGTAACTGTCTTGCAACCGTAACACTATTTTGGTGATCATTTGCCTAGACTATAGCGTTGGCCGTAGTTATGCCTAAGCAACTCTTCATAACAATTTGCCAAACTAAGAAAATGAAGTTTACGGTGCTTATCTCGTCTATTTAAACACATTTTTTTTTTGATGTAACTTTAAAAAAACCTTTCAACCCCCTCTTCTTCATTGTACTTTTTTTCTTCAGTAGACCTCGTGACCTGATGTGACGCTTTTAGGGACAATACATTTTTTATTTTATTATAAATATTGTTAAAGTTTCTATACATCTTTTTCGATATTTGAATCTGATTCATATGTTTGATTTACCATTTTTAAGAATAACCCAAAAACTTGAAATATTGACCCCAATCACCAATGACAATTGACGCTCAGGTGACATCGAGATTCCTAATGATGACTCCAAAGTCTTACCAAAATTTGGCACTTCCCTAATTGAGTAATTTCCAGGGTATCAAAATTAAAAATCTAATTCGTCCGTCAGTTAGATAATGAAAAAATATTAGACACGTATTTTTATTTTCTCGTATTAAGTTGCAATACTTAGATAAAATGGCACCAAGTGGGTGGTCGTTACGTCATAACGTGCTACAAAATGTGACACGCTGTGACGTCACACGATATTTCAAATAAATATATCGTTGAAAGTATTAAATTTATACTCCGAATTTTAATTCGATTCCAGATTTGACAATTTCAGTGTTGCAACGTTATGACAAGTACAAAATAGTGACGTTGCGAAATTATTCGATATGGAAATGCAATATTTCTGGATCGATTCTTCTCGTTTATAATTTTACTCTCATAAACTAAGTATATCAGGAAATATTTCTGAACCGATAATTTAGTTTTGACGATTAATTAACGATCTGAGACTTTTCTTTTATAATTGTGTAAAATAAATAAAAAAATGTAATCATGAAGGAACAAGACAAATAAAACAGATAGTAGTATTATGGTAATAATTTATTTTATAAATTGTCGCCGTCATCGCTATCGCTATCCTGTCACTTTCTGTAACATTTATTATAAAACACACACACTGATTGTTTCTCGATTTTTGTGTCCATCACTACACTATTATATGTGGTATCATTATTTCACAAAATGTAAGTAGCTATTGTCAAATCTGGAATCTAATTAAAATTCTGACTATAGTGAGAAAAGAAAAAAATACGTGTCTAAAGTTTTAAATTAATGAACCGGTCGGACATTAAAATAAAATTTAGGAAACTACCCTATTATGTCAATTTGACTACTATTTTGATGTCTACTTTAACCAGACCAGACTAAAATACAAACGTATGTTGCGACTCGTCAAGTAAGCTGTCAAAATAAAACCTTAATTAACAAATGTTAAGTCAATATTCATAGTCGCATTCGCTAATATCATCGGCAGATATTTGCAAACAAATTAACTTCGTTATTGAGCAATTATTTAAATATTTTCCTGATATCTTTTGTAACTTACTATCATCTAGTGTCGTTTAGGCGTCGACTTCAGAGATAGTTGTTCAACTAAAAGTTGTGTGTATTGCGCTTTGAAGTGTACAATACTGCGTTCAGAAACCGTGTGTACGAGTGAGAATGGAATGTGGGCATGTGCAGGCACGGCGCGCGCGAGCGCCTGCTGGCGCGCGTGTGCGGCACGGTGCCGTACGCCGCGCCCGAGGTGCTGCGCGCCGCCGCGCGGCCCTACCGCGCGCCGCCCGCCGACCTGTGGGCCGCCGCGCTCGTGTTGCTCGCCATGTTGGCTGGCGGTGAGTACTCGCGCTCTGCAGCCTCGTCCGGCCGTCGTCTCCTCGCGCCGCGGCTCGTCTCTTTGGTATCCTAGCTGTAGGCGTGTTATGCAAACCCTAAAGTTATGGTACCGAAGTTACGAGTCGCGGTACACGCAGCGGCCTGTTCGTCGTCTTCCGGTGAGCCACTTCTGAATACAATCTTAATTGTAAATGAATCCATCACTATCAGCGACGAGCTCCACCGTGACTTATATTTGATATGTATGTTCGAAGAATTGCCGTGGGAGCGCGCGTGCCCGTCTGACGCGCGATTCGCGGCCTGGAGCGCGTGGTGGGAAGCGAACTGCGCGGACGCGGGGCCGCCGCCGGCCGGGCCGTGGCGCAAGCTGAGCGGCGCTGCACTGGCGCTCGTGCGACGCGCGCTGGCGCCCGACGCGAGCCGCCGCGCGGGGCTGTCTGCCCTCAAGGCAGCCACTTGGGCGCGCGCGCGGCTGTGGCCGGGTGAGTCACTGTTCAGGTATTAGGTGACAGTCAGGTACTAGGTGACTCTGAGTGAGTGTGCTCGTGTCAGGTACTAGGTGACTCTGAGTGGCCGCTCTCGGAGCCGCCTCGTGCCTCAGCACGGCGCGCGCCGCTCTCGCAGCCTCCGGAAGGACTACGCGACGAAATCTACTGACGCGCGGTTCGGCTCTTTGGCGATTTAGCTCCGTGACGTGATAAAAGCTCATAAAGCTAGATTACCAAAGCACCGTACCGTCGCACGATCTACGAACCTGCCGTCCGTTCGAGCCTGCGTCTTCGTCTTCTATCGGTCGATCGATCGCAATCTTCATTCGTATCGTACTTTGGAATTCGCACTTAATCGAGACCGAGACGATTTCCCGACCTATCCTATCGACAGAGAACGAGGAGCGCGCGTGGCGTTCCCAGCCCACGGCGGGTGACGCGACGGACGCGCCCGACGAGCTGTCGGCGGCCGACATGGACGCGCTCATCAGCTACTCGCAGCCCGCGCA